CCGAGGGCAATGCTACTCATCGGTTTCTGACATCTGAACTTACCCTGCAGCACAAAGTTCCATTATATAGATTATTTTAACCAAGAAGAAAGCCGAAAGCAATGTTACTCATTGGTTTGTGACATCTGAACTTACCCTGCAGCACAAAGTTCCATTATATAGGTTATTTTAACCAAGCAAAATGTCTAGGGCAACGTTACTCATTGGTTTCTGACATCTGAACTTACCCTGCAGCACATAGTTCCATTATATAGGTTATTTTAACCAAGCAAAATGTCTAGGGCAACGTTACTCATTGGTTTCTGACATCTGAACTTACCCTGACAGCACATAGTTCCATTATATAAGTTATTTTATCCATTCCATATCCTCGAAATCGTTCGTCGTATAGTGGTAAACTGGGGGTGTTCCTAAACATTCAAAGTACACATGGAATATTAACTTTGAGTACTGTAAATGTTATCACGCTGAAAGGTTTTCACGTAAGTAGGAAATCTTCGAGTATAAATAATTTTTGATTAAAAATAAAGTACACACACACACATATCATATATGTACAGACATATAGATACATACACAGCGTGGTCACAAGTAAATAGACACCACCTTTTCAGAAAAAAAAATTAAAGTTTTCAGTCATATTCACATGAATTGATGTATTTATAATTTAATTAATATCTAGTAGATCTTATTTTCGCTTCGTGGAGTTCGTTGATCCTTTGTGGGATCGTGAGAATCATTTTGTCAATTTTAGATTGTGGGATTTTCGCCCACTCTTGCTTCAAAACTTGGAGTAGATCGCTCTTCGAAGTTGTTTTTTTTTGGTTGTTTCTTGACTTGCCGGTCGAGTATAGCCCAGAGATTTTCGATGGGGTTCATGTCAGGAGATTGGCTCGACCAGGGCAACTTATGGATACCATTTTCTTCCTGCCACTTTTGGGTGTTTCTAGCAGTGTGACACGGTGCTCCATCTTCCTGGAACAGCGTTGTGTTCTTGTCCACGAAACCCGAGAAATAAAGTAGCAAGAGTCCTTCCTCCAATATTTCGACGTACTTCACAACATTTATGTTGCCAACGCACTCCACTAAGCTCGATCTCCCACCAACCCAAACAGCTCCCCAAACCATCACGCTGAGACCACCATCCTTCACCGTTGGCTGCAATCTGTTGAGCTACAACACTTGGAGAGACATTCTCCAGACCCATATCATTCCACTGTCCGAAAATTGAGCGAATCTTGATTCGTCTGAGAACAATACGGTCTTCCAAAAGTCCAGAGGCTTGGTCATCATATCACTTGCCCATTTCTTTCGTCTGACTATCTTGACAGGTCTTAATAAGGGCTTCCGTCTAGCTGCTCCGCAACGATAATCCAATATGTGGAGAATCCATTGAACAGATTTCGGGCTCATCCCACCAACTTTGGCCACTTCTGCAGTCGTTAATCTGGGATCCATTTCGATGCTTCTCTTGACAGCCCTTTTTGTCCTCTCCGATGGATCAAGACGACCCGGACGCTGCTCAGTTGTTTCCTTGCAGTGTTTCCTGAACTGCACGATGATTCTGTTGACTGTCGAAAGCGGGATTCCCAAATTCTGCAAAATTTGCCGCTGACTTACTCCACCATCTGCTCGACCAACTATCCTTCCTCTAAAAAAATCTGACAATTCGAGAGAACCTTGAGTTCTAGGCATGTTGTAGCACAAGATAATTAGTGTGCGGACCATTTTCACTTATATAGTGCTCTGTGAACACAAATTAGTTAGCATAAATCAGTTAAGTGACGAAAAATTAGGTGTCTATTTACTTGTGACCACTCAGTGTACATACATACACACGCACGCGCGAATACTTGTTTCGGTAAATTATCTACCATTTTTTCCAGAAAAGTTTCTTCAAATATTTACACATTTAAAACTAGAAAAGCGTGGCACTTTTTATTAATCTTTGTAGCAATTATAAGTTAGAATCTTAAGTCTTATTTGACCCTATGGTTCAGTCGGAAACAAAAGATTAAGAAAAAGTGACAAAATATTTATATTAAACACAAATAAGAAATAATTGAACATATCTACGTAAGTTAGAATACTTTTATTAAATTATATGTGGCATAATATTTTCTGCTCCTCTAAAAAGTCGAATTATGAACGAGTTGTTTCACTTTTTCTTAATTAACATGGTGACATATATAATTTTTTATATCCGTTTCTGTATACAAACTATGCCATTACTTTCTTTAAGCCCTACATATCCTGTTTCATTTTGGAGTGAAAAATACATATAGGTTATTTTTGTTTATAACGTTACAGTTTTATATAACTACTCATACGAAATATCCCTCTTTTTACAATCATACCGTGAGGCAGAATTTAGAACATTCATCTTAGACAACAAAAAACCAACAACAACTTGTATATAGTAGTATATATTTCTTCGAAGAACAAAAATATACACACCATTCTCTTTAAATAAATTGCAACATAGGGAACTAGGCTTCACTCTAACATCTCAATTCAGTTAGAAGTCACGGCTACCGTTTCTAGGGCGATTTTTTAGTGGATTACTTTTTATCCGATGTCACGTTGTTTTATGCTATTGATTTCGAGCCAGTTAAAAAAAAACCTTGTAGAGAGTGTGGGTGGGAAGAACTACAGGGAAGGCAGATAGTCAGCAACTTACTACAACTCACATTGGATGCTAAGGGATTGACTGTCACTCTTTTAACACATCCACAGCTCAAAGTGCAGGGAAGACTTTATGGTATTGCACAAATTCGAACTCAGCTCCCAAGGTCCGTAACCCAGAGCTCTGCCACAGGGCCATGTAAATTGGCCAAAATATAGCTGAGTAATTGACCAAAACCCCTAAAATTATGCGTTTTGTGGCATCTTGACCCCCTATAAGAACTAAAAATGGGCAAGTCTATCATTTTTATTTGTTAATGTGTGAGATGACCTGTACAAAATTATTTTTGTACCAAATTCCATGTAAATACGGCCGATTAATTAACCCAAACCCTCACCCCCCCCCCCCCACTACAAAGATACAGAATGGCCAAATCCAATTTTGTGCCAATTTTCACTTTGATTGCTGTAAGAATGACCGCACATGACCCCAAAATATATATCTTTAGGTTGTATGACCTTTGAACCATTAAATCCTTAAAAAGACACAAATAAAATAAAAAAAGAAAACACATCTGGTTGTATTGGACCAAGATATAACCCTACCAAATTTCAAGTCAATCCGCCCAGAAATGAAAGAATGGTGGCCCATTGAAAAGTGTTTGGAAGGAGAAAGAAATAAAGAAAAACAACATGTTTCTCCTCGGAGACATTAACATTTAATGAGGTTATGTTACTCTACCGTTAACTTGTCAGAATAGAAGGATTTTTCAAGCATTATAAAACTTACTTGAGGAGTACGTACGGTTCGTACATATCATCAAAAGATCCTAGAATATACGATTTTTCTTCTTTGTACCATTTACGGTAGTTTGTTAATGTATGACCTCTTCCTCTTCTGTATTCTTTAGACTTGATTAAGTTAAAATTTCAACTTTTGCTTTAGATAAAACTACTGAATTTCAACAATCACATCACCTTTTCTTTTGAGTCCTAATAATTATATGGTTTTCAAGAAAATAACTAATTCTTCAGTTTCATTTTGTAGTGATAAATACAATTTTGTGATTTTATATTACTACTAATAACTCCCTTTTTTAAACCAATGTCTAACAGAGCTGTAAGAACGTGAAAAGCAAAATGCTTATGCGAGAAAAAGAAAGCTTTAAATATTACCAGCATGCAGCAGAACATATTCAAATAATATTCCGAACTTTCACGTGAAAACTATTGTTGCACATAGTAGTTTAATGTTATAAATTTCTCCGCACAACTAGATACAACTGCTGCTGCTGACTCTGGTGGAGTTTTAGTGAACTATATTTTATCGACTTCAAAACTGTACAGCAGCTTGGTGATTCTGAAGGCGGTGTCGTTTTATAGTACAAACCAAAGGAATATAAACGTAAGCGAATTATTAACCATTTGAAAGAAATCAATTAATACTTGTGTATAAATGTGACATGTGAATAATACACTTGCATAGTTTGCAATTAAAAGTATAATTAATTTTGTCTTTAGTAACTTATACAGATCTTAGGGTTAATGCTATCAATAAGTCTGCAGGCTGAGCGACTTCTCTCTACTGCATTAAGTTTGACAGAATACAAACTCTTAACTATAAAAACTTACTTGAGAAGTACGTACGGCTCGTACATATCACCAAAAGACTCTAGAATATAAGGTTCTTCTTCTCTATACCACCTACTGTAGTTCGTTAGTGTGTGACTTTTTCCTTCTTTATATTCTTAAAAAATGATTAAGTTAAAAAAAACACTCAATGTTTTTTGTGCAACACGGGTGTTCTGAGCTAAACAGATAAAATATTCAATGTACTTCAGCTCTTCCCCTGACAAAAACATTTTATCTATATCACACACTCATGTTTATGCACCTATGGTGGGCACATACAAACTATTTTATACTAACGATATACCATATTTATTTTCAGATTCGCTTTTTTAACTTTCCTAAACTAATCTTCTCATTACAGCGATAGATAATTTTAAGTAGTGTTTTTGATATGCTCTGAATAGACACCAAAGAAATTACCACTTAAAAATTAAGAATTAATCTTAATTCTTTATTTTAAACCTATGTAATAGTTGTAAATAAATCTTTATTTGTGTAGGTTAACGCAACTTTTATAAATTTGGTGTAGATTGCCTGTTTTTATCTAGACGTTCCCCGTGACAGGATGTATCCAGTTGTAAACTATGTTCACTCTCACCTTTAGATATTCACTTATGGTCAATACTGTAATACACGTAAGGCTGTCTATGTGCGTGTATGGCTAAACAATAGATACGTCATTAATTAATTTTTCACGATGTCTGATAGCGTACTGTACAAATGGAGACTGAGAGACAGGATACTCTGGTTTCCCTTTTTGTTTTTTAAGAATTAATCCATTTTCTTGACGCGTATTACACGGTATTCTGGAAATTTATGGCAAACTTGAACTTGAGTATCAAACAATGGTAGTTATTGGTCAAAAATGCCTTGGTGTTATTAATAGTGAATCTTATACTATTCCTTTTGTAGGTTAGCCGTCCCTGTGTACGAATAGTATACGCACACTATTGCTTTTATTTGGCAATAAAGTATATTCTTTATTTCAAAGTGAAACAACTGTTTCCAGTTTGTGGCGCTAAATCAGTGTAATTAAAATGTAGCGAAGGTCTTTGGGCCATAAACTACAAGTCTGCTGCTAATAAAAACAACAAGAAGAACATCACACAGTACATTATAGAAGTTAAGGTCTTTTTTGGAACTAACATTGTGGTATATACATTTTTATTGTTTTTTTTTATACAAAGACGTAGTGGGGAAAAATAAACGTTTAAATGCTCGAAATGCACTATTGTGTAGTATAACCACAATAGTACAATACAGAACTATAAGGAAAGAAAATTACTTTAATGCATCTCTAATGTCCAACATCTCACTCTAGCCATATTTCCATACAGCAATATTACAAACTACAATAAACATGGTTCACAAGAATTTTAGATAAAACTAGAAACAACGTTAAGTTGAAAAGATCTAAGACAACTATAATAAAAGCAAATATATGTTTGAGTTAAAACGTACATAGTTTTAGTGTAACGAAAGTGTCAGACTGAAGTTTGGGACAAGCTGTTATTAGTGTCGTATGGCTTGTTAATAAACATATTTCGAGTAAACTAGTACGACTTGGCGAGTTCTTTTTTAAGCATATTATCGTAACCATATCGGAAATGTATTTTTTTTTAAACCTATCAACCAACACACTTCTAACGTGACGCAAAGTACTAAAATAAGCGTCATGTGTAGAACAAGTTCACAATCGCCTAAAAGGATACTGACTGGCTGAATCTTGTGGTTCTTCTGAAATATACTTCTTACAAGCTCAGACTTTGTTCGGGGGAGAAAACTATTTTCCTAACACAAGATTATTAAACTTATTTAAAAAAAACAACAACTTTAAATCAGAAAAACATTTTGCTACAGGAAAAGGTAAGTAACTCATTACCCAACAATATATTTAATTTCCAATAATAATAATAATAGCAACAGCAACAACATTGTTGAATTATCTGTCATTTCTGAGAACAAGAATTTTTTTGAATGATTGCAATTTTACTTGCATAAGACATTGGTGTTAGGCCTATTACATTTTTAAACATTATTTTATTACAAGTCACAGCTTTTACAGTGAGGAGGATTTGTTTTTAGAACAGGTACGACGTTTCGATCACTGGCGCGATCATTCTCAGGTGCACAAGTTTTAACGGTAAAGAACATTTTTACATTTAAATCAACAATCTAATAATGTATTTAGATTTTAGAACTAATAGTGATTACTTGTACAAATGTATATCAATCGGTGTGAATTGGCAGATATTTATTTATGACTGAACAGAAGATGTATACAAATAAAGAATCAACATGAAAGAGGAACACCTAATCGAACTGTTACAATTAGCCACATTTATTTGCTTTTAATATAGAGATTTGTACTTCCTTCAATTACACGGACTCTCCATGGGAAATCCATTATCAAGTACACTGGCCTTTCTTTTCTTACATTACATAGAATTACATTCCATAGTCACTTCCATACACAAGTCTATATTTATGTAGATAACGGTTTTTTACGGCTTCACTTGTCAAGACGAACAAACAAAATTTCTTAAACACAAAAACCCACATACAGACACAAACTTCACAATGTTGATTGAAAACAGCTACACGATAAATCTTTCAAACGTTAAAATCATGCGCTGTATTAAACTAATACTTAATCAGTAAGTAAACTCAAAACGAAACTTAATTTTTAAACACTACATTCTTAATCTAGTCCCTTAGAGATTTTTAAGAATTAGAAGAGTGTATAGTACTAGACTAATAGTATTATAATGGATATGATAAATATTGTACATTCTTGAAAATCCCTAAGGGACTAGATTAAGAATTATGTTTGAAAATATAATAGGCCAACATCTTAGTTTTTAGTTGGTTGTACCTTGAATGCATTTCTGTGGATCTACTTATATATAATGCTTATGTTTTCTATATTAGCCCACAAATAAAGTTACCACAGTTGCTTTGATTAGTTTCAACCTTGCTTTGTGTGTTTTTATAAACCAAGTAGTATTTTTTCATTTATATAAATAAAGCTAATAACAACAAAAATTGTAATATACCTTCAATTTCCCACGAAATTCGAACCCTGGTACAACAAACGCTGTTTTATCAACAGTTGGCCAAGACCGTATAGTCCTCAAAGCGTTGCTCTGTAGGTCAGCCGAAGGTTGAAAGTCTACGTCCAGTAGAAGCAAAAATTCTGTTTTCACCTCTCTAAATTTCACCAGAGAATATATATATATATATAGAGAGAGAGAGAGAGAGAGAGTGAGCAAGAGTTAGTTCTACGCGTCTCTAACGTCAAATCAAATTTAGAATATATTTGCAATCGTATTTACAAATAAGAAATTAAAATTTTGAAGTATGCTATTTCGTGGTCAGGTAGCACCAACAGCCACACGCTACAGCCCTGACTTGGTTGTCTCTTCTTCGTCGGAATTCGATCCATGTTTTGGACCAGGAAGGGTCAGGTTCAGCGTTGACCTCTTTCTCCCTCGTTATTTGGTTTGTACTGTTACTGAATCCGAAGTAACAAATCTTGTTACGTTGTGTCCATTATTTACAGTATGGTATTTTTTTAAATTAATTAACACACTCGGAAAAAATCATTTGGCTGATTATTCTGACTTGCTTTGAATTTCGCGCCTTCGCTAATTTAACAGTGACAGACTAGAGGGAAGGCAGCTGGTCATTACCAACTATCGCCAACTCTTGGACTACTCTTTTACCAACGAATAGTGGGATTGGCCGTAACATTATAACGCCTCCATGATAAAAAGGTCGAGCATGTTCGGTGACGGGGATTCGAACCCATGACCCACAATTTGTGACTCGAGCGCCTTAACCACCAGGCCATGCCAGGCTCCGACTACTCTAATGGAATGACACGAAAAGATGCGACATGGTCTATACATAGCATATTGTTTGACATTAACATTTATTATACGTTGGTGTAAATATTACCTCAACATAACGCCTAGATTCATTTCACCTCTGGAAGAAGAAATAACTAAAACAATCAAGGAATTCTGCCTTACTTTATTCATCCTACTTCACATGTCCAATATTTGTCTTCTTTTTGATTTTTTTCTCAGTGAATTGAAATTATTGGCTGATCTCTTGCGACTGCAAAAGATCATTCAGAAATAAACAAAAATACACACATTGTTAGCGGAAACTTTTCCAATAATGGAATCGTGAATAAATCCCTGTACTATAACAACTCTTTAAAACTTTAAGAAATAGAAATTTTACGACATTAGTGCTTAACCAGCTATACAGCTTACCTAATGGCAATATTCCTCAAGGTGTTGATGGGATAGTTTTCAGAAGTGCAGTTTCCGACAACAATAGTAACTTGTCCACGTTTTTCAAGATTATGATGCTCGATAAATTTAGACACCATATTTCTGAAAGAACGATAATTAACGAAATGTGGCATGAGTCACAGTAGCATTACGATCTAGACTATATATATCACTTTAATATGTATTCCAGATATGTCTCATTTTAACCCTTTAGTCTATTATTGCAGTATTAGATCGAGTTTCGAATTTTGAGGAATATCTAACTAAACATCCCTAATTTAGCAGTGATAGACTAGAGGGAAGGCAGCTAGTCAACATCATCCATTGTCAACTCTTGAGTTACTTTTTTACCAACGAATAGTGGGTTTGACTGTCACATTATAACGCTCACACTATTGAAAGGTTGAGCATGTTCGTTGACGGAGATTCGAACCCACAGATTGCGAGTCAAACGTCCTAACCACCAGGTTATGCCAGACGATAGTCGTTGTAGCTACCATTCTGAATGTTTTGATTTCTTAAGGATTCTTGGAACGTTCGCATCTATAGGATGAAATGGTAGACTTGAAGTATTTTATATTACCATACAAGTTCTGTAAGTTCTTCAAACACTTCATCAAAAGTGAAATAAACACGTGATCAAACGTCTATTTCTAATTCTTGAAAAGCGTGTTTAGGTTAAATTTGTTTTTTGTTGTTAAGCATGAAGCTATAGAATGGGCTATCTGTGGTCTGTCTATCGAGAGTATCGAAACCAGAGTTTTAGCGTTATAAGCCCTCAGATTTACCACTGAGCCACCGAAGGCCTTCGATTAAATAAATATACGATTTACTTTATTAAAACACAAATCAAATAATTTATTTAACTTTTCGGTTTTTGCTTTAACGTACCAGTAAGTCTCCATAGGAATCAAGTAAATTACAAATTTTATTATCCACTAATTTATTTAATGATTCTATTGGCATTCAACAAAGATAAAACATTATTTTCGAAGCCAGTGTATGGATTAAATATTCGTACACAGAATCAAACTTGTCATTATACAACTACTACTTACACCACAAATTGTCATCCTAATAATACATACAAGTTAGCTACGAGGAGATGCTTTGGTCTTCACTTGACAAGTATATAAAACATTACACGGTAGCCACTAGGCCGAGTAAACAATGATACGAGTTTCTAAACTACGAGATAAGTATAGAAATGTTTAACTTGGCTTTTCCAAAGGGTTTATTACTAAAAAATTATCCCTTTGCATTTGTGAAGGATAGCAATATTACATGTGTTCCGCACGCTGAGAAAGATAGCAATATTACATGTGTTCCACACGCTGAGAAGGATGGCAATATTACATGTGTTCCGCACGCTGAGAAGGATGACAATATTACATGTGTTCCGCACGCTGAGAAGGATGGCAATATAACATGTGTTCCGCACGCTGAGAAGGATGACAATATTACATGTGTTCCGCACGCTGAGAAGGATGACAATATTGCATGTGTTCCGCACGCTGAGAAGGATGGCAAAAATTGTGGTGAAATATTAAAGTTCAAATTATTTTTTTGTAGTTTTAATTGTTTAAAAAAAGATTTGATATTGAAACTGTTTCTTGCTCAATAAATTATGTATATCAATCATTTAAGGTTCGTACAAATAGCATTCAACCACCATGCTTCTAATAATAATACCTGCAACTTCAAAACACTATATACAAGATATTACATCACAATATGGCAAAAAAGAAAAGTCTGATCTTTTTTTTCTTTGCAAAATTTCAGTAAGAAGAACATATAATAGTATACTTTATATTTGTTACAGGCCTCTACCATCTGGGCCTTTATTTCATTACCTGAGCTGAGCAGGTCGGCTGAGTTATAAAACACACAGTGCTAGTTAAAACACTACTTGTATTACTATCTTCTTATTAATCGCATTTCGCCAAAATACACTTGTAAGATTTGAAAATATATAACCTTTCAGCGCGGTCGTAAACCATGTGTCACACTATTATGGAAACTACTAAACAAGATGTTTTATACAATAATACAGTTTCTAGATAAGTTAAAAAATATATTTATATATTCATGCGCAGAGAAAGATAAAGATCATATATACTGAAGTTTAAAATAAATCCAACAAAGTATTTTTTGGATTATCATCTCATGAATTACGTATTTTTTAACAATATAAATTTATATACATCATTAATTAATGTACTCTTCAAATGAAGATTAATCTACGAAACTGTAAAGTTAAATACACGGTGAACATCATTAATTAATGTACTCTTCAAATCAAGATTAATCTACGAAACTGTAAAGTTAAATACACGGTGAACATCATTAATTAATGTACTCTTCAAATCAAGATTAATCTACGAAACTGTAAAGTTAAATACACGGTGAACATCATTAATTAATGTACTCTTCAAATCAAGATTAATCTACGAAACTGTAAAGTTAAATTCAGGGTGGCAAATACTCATGCTTAAACCTATGGTTTGATTTTTAAGATATACAATTGCATAATAATAAATCATTTAATCTGCTTTCAATTTATAATAAACTATATTACAAATACAAAGTTAATACTATACATTCTTAGATACATAACCATGCAGCTATTAGAAATGATGATGAAGACGATCACCTTTCAGAAAGCACTCGTGCTTCATCTTTTTTCCCAAATGCAGGAAGAAACACCGCAATAGAGACGGCTCCCTCCCATGGCACCATTGTTTGGTTGAGGAGTTTTAACCTACTCATCGTTAGTTGAGTTGCAAGAGTTACAGACGATTCATTGGCTAATCTGCAAATTTCAGAAACCATAAAAAGATCATTAAGTCAACGTATTTGCAAATGTTTCAGTTTTCCGACTTTAATGCAGGTTTCAAAATGTATCCGTTTCACTATGATTTTGAAGTTGAAACACTGCACTGATATTTGATAATACACTTCTATAGAAAGCTGTTATGTGTTTATCCATTATCTGGCTAAGCCTGTGATTCATTTGGATCACCTTTTGTTAAAGTCTAACATATGAAATCTTAAAGTTGTCATAATGCCTAAACGTTCATAATTTTATCTCACCTGTGCCATATATATATATATATATATATATATATATATATATATATATATATAGGTTCCATAAACATTAAGTTCTAAACATTTACAATGTATTTCACATATACTTAGTAGTTCCATAAACAAGAACTAATTTTCTTTCTAACCGTGCAAAGTTCTACCTGAAATATACTTTCCACATATCAAATGTTACCAATAAAAATGTAGGGAAGGTGAGTACTCTGTAATCCAGATAACATTAGAAAATGATTAATGTTAAACTTAAATACTACTGGCTTTCAACACTAACACTTAAAAATACTACGTTAAACAATGCTATGATTTCTTGAAGAGTTCCATACGTTTCTGGTGGTACCAAGATAGGTTCCACATTCAGATAGCAGGGTCGTATGTCCAATGCTCTTTCTGGTTCTTGAAAACAAGTGTCCACAACATCACTACGCGACAAAGAGCTGGCCGTTTGTAATCCTAAGTAAAATATACTAAATGTGAAAAACTGAATACATACAAGATAAACTAACGAAATACATTTTTTATGAAGAAAAAAACTTGATTTTTTCTCCAATATTCAAGGGATATTCTATATTTCCTCACGAATATCAAACTTATACATGGCACTTGATACAGTAAAACCGTCTTCACATACACACTATTATATAGTGATTGATTATTAATAATTACTTTTGGAATTCAACATTAGAAATTAATTGAGAATCGTGGTTTAACGATATTATTTTTATAATGATACAGTTTTAATAATGTACAACGTGACATAACTCCATTAGTTATGCTAATTTACGATTCATATAAAAGCATGTTGCTCTTGGCCGTCCTAACCTGAAATAGGAAAGACGACGACATTTTTGAAACCGGCGTCTGAAACCTTGCCTCTACATTCCAACATCAAAATTATTCCCCAGATTGTGACTTCGGGTGGGGATATATACAGTAATCTTATTGGTGATGGTTCCAATACAAAATCAAGTACAGACGAGCGCCTGAGATGCCAGAAAAAGAAAGAAAACAATAATAAAAAAGGTCATATAAACAGTCTATACAGGAAGTCCACTGAGCAATAAAAGTACTAAACATATCATAAAAAAATGTTGCTGATTAATTGATATTGCTATAACACAAAAACGAGTAAAGAAACAACAACGATTATAGTTTCTAAAACTATTTGTAAAAATAATGGGCTTATTCTTCTTAATACCATATATAATAGTAGTATTTAATAAGTAGGTTGGATAATATGGGTTTTGGGCTAAGGACTCTTCTACACTAGGTGTCTGTGAGTTGTTGGCGATGAATTTAAAAAATAAACGAACAGCACGCATTGCACTTGTTTTCAATATATATATATATATATATATATATTCTAACTAGTTAAACGTACGTACAACAAATTCTTTACACTATAGAGATCATAGGCATATCATAAACACTATATATATATAGTTGAAAAGTCCACTTATGCCTATTCAGTTGCTTTAGAATCTCAGTATTCTGTGTATGATTCACTTACAATTATAGTATGAGTTACCATGGTCGTATATTGCTCTTCCACTAATAGTCTGTTCCTTCTGTCATAGTTCACACATGCACACAGGCTTATTCAATTACTTTAAAACTCGCTTTGACGGAATAAATTATACTTCTTTACTCTAACACAGTGGTTCTCAACTTGGGGCATATGGCCCCCAGGGGGGCCACGCCATATTTCTAAGGAGCCACACGAGAATGACGGAAAATTAGGGGCCATAGTAAATTCCGAGTGGGCCACCAAAACTTCACTTCCTAAATAAAATATTTCAACAGCCCAAGCTAGATTTAAACGTGACAAACATTATTTCTGGATAGGTAGTGAAATAGCTAATAAGTTTCCACAGCTCTGGAAGAAGGCAAAGTTGTATTTCATCACTTTTCCCACATCTTATCTGGTTGAATCTGTTTTTTGTCGAGTGACTTATTTGCTATCAAAAATACATAACCGCCTTGATGTTGTGAAGAGAGGTGATCTTCGCTTATCACTGACCACACTGCAACCAGACATTCTAAAACTTTCAAGTGTTCATCAGGCCCAAGGATCACACTGAATAAAATGTCAATGATTAACATAACATTTTTTACTTGTAAAAGTAAACAGTATGTTGTAAACAAAATATTTAAAAACAATACAATATTGTAAAAATAATATTATAAATATATTATAAATCAACAGTGTGTAAATAAAGTAACTTTTTTTCCCAAGTAACAGCGTCTAGGAGGGAGAGGCCACAGAGATAAATCAAACTCAAAAGGGAGCCACGAGCAAAAAAAGGCTGAGAAACACTGCTCCAACATACCAATCGTTAGACCTATATTAATCATCAGGCGTTTCACTCCTACAGCAATTAACTTTACGTTTAACTTTTCTTTGACCGAACTTCTACTTTCCGTGACTGTACTTTCTCGGCTCTATCTGTCTGCTGTTCCCTCTCGTCTCACACTATTTATATATTTATCACTTAATCGTCTCGTCGCCTTCTAGAAATCTATCTATATCCTCGACATCAATAAATTTCACGCGATGTTCAATAGCCTCAACATCAATGAATTATAAACACAACGTACAATTTTTACCGAGTTACGTAGCTAAACTTGTCATTACTTTAACATAATTTATTTTAATTCTATTGTTATGAAAAACTAAACATTCACGAAATATTCATTCACAAAATAATTTAATTAATAACACCTACACTAATCAGTCTTTTATATCATGACAATAATTCAGAATCTATATTACATGGAAATGGTGATTTCTTTCTTTTTTGTGGTTATATTATCTGCTTTCATTAGCTTTGAAAAAGTTAGAAAAATAAATATTGTCTCTCGATGGGTAAACGGTAAATTTAATGACTTACAACGCTCGGATCTGGGGTTCAATTCCCCTTTGTGGACAGAGTGCAGATAGCCAATTGTGTAGCTTTGCACTAAACAAAACACCAAACTTAAATATATTTTTATTTTGTGTACATTATTGTGGTATTACATTTCAAGCAACACTCGTTTTAAACCAAATATTTTATCCAGGAGGTAAGCTTATATAAGCATTTGTTTGTTTGTTTGTTTTAGCGCAGGGCATTGTAACTCCGTAAATTGAGTGCTGTTTAGAATAAAGTGAGTAATAGAAGAAGAATAACAACAACAAAAAGACATTTTTCTGCACGATATACCCAAGTACAAACACGGAATTCCCTGGAAATCACTATCCGTCTGTACTCATATAAACAACTGTAAAGTTGGTGTATGCGTTTTGAATTCGTTCATTGTGAGGTTTACGAGAAAATCAAACTATTAAGTGTGAAAACGTGAAGAATGAATTTGAAGAAAACAAAGAAAGCTCTCTTTTGAAAATAGCTGAAAAACGTGTCATATATCTTCTGAAACTACCTATCGATGAGTGTATCACGAGCGAAAGGAACCGCAGTTGTTCAAAAGTTCACGACTTTATAACAATTTAAAATTCCCAGCTAAAATCGCCTCAAAATTTCCACAAGGTGATAGTTCCAGCTATAGGTGTCGCTAAAAGTGATTCTACACTTCATATTTCCAAGGAATGGTTCAGACAGAAAAACAATCACTTAAGATGACACCACTATGTAACTTAGTTGTTTTCTAACGTTATAGTATAACGACTAATAACAAGTATAGGTAGAATAATAAGTTTGCTTATTGACAGTATTAAGTACGGTAGAGTTTAGCCCGAATTAAACTAACGCAAAAAACGCCCACAAGTCACAGTGTAACTTACAAGTTACAGTGTTAATTTCTTTTATTGAATATAGGCTTACCTAATGTTAGGCCTAAGACAGGTGGACTTCGGTAAAACAGAAAATATAATAATGGTGAAAATCTCGCCAATTTAAAATAATTTTATTAGTGAACACGAAAACAACGTTTCATTTCAGGCAACAGCCCTTCAACAGGGTTCCAGTGAGGATTCAGTGTCTGCGACTAGAATATTGTTACGTCTCTGGTCGTTGGTTAATTTTCAGTAAAAACTCTTTCCGAAGAACTTGAGCAATACAAGTCCTTTCTTAAATAAAACTGGTTTATTCTTTCTGAATACAACTTTGCAATACACTTAATTTCCACAGTCGCGCTATAACAAACGCTATAATTCACAACGAACGTCTCACGTGCTCGCTCAACAATACGTCTCTCTCTGTCCGCAGTTCAATTGCACATTGTTGCCGTCACGTCTTGACCGTCTTATATGTACAAGAATACCGAAATCTAGTAAACGCTAGAGCATTCACGAACTTTCGAGAATATGACGTGTTACTAGCGTCACGTGACCCCCGCTGTCGTAACAGTATGTTTTAGTATTCCAGAAATCCTGTACTCAAAGAAGTACTGTTGCAATAAAGATATTAATTTGACCGCATATGTTTTACACTATAACAGGTCTCTTGCTAGTTAAAAATATTACAAACAACTAGCATAAAATGAAAAAAAATTTTATTAGTTTGTTACAACTTGCTATATTTATTTATGAAGTCATTTTTAACGATTTTAATAAAATGATGAATAGATTTTAATAAATCTAAGTAATTTCGGAGGAAAATATTAGAGTAAAACTTTAAACTTACCTTAACAACTTTAAAGTGCCGTTACTAAACCTAATTCCAACCAACAAAGTCATTCTAGATGCGGAGGATTTCTGTAAATGAAGATCAATCAGAGAATATAATAATCACGCAAAACACAGAGAATATAGCAAACAGCACAGGAAAGTATTTACTATCTACTATGATAGCACTGAAATGTTATATACTTCGATGTCTGCGTTTAGGATTTTTGTATTATTCTAGAAGTTCTGTAACAACAAGATACTAATATCAAAAGGCCTCTAGTTCAATCACGTAAAAGTTCACACAAAATACCCTCCATAACTAAACCTTGAAAATGTATTAAGTTCTATTCTACCATTCTATATAAAAAAAATACTTCTTATCAGTCTAAATAATACTCAAAAGACGAAGACTGGTCTTGAACTAAAATTCCTATAGATGAAATAAAATAATATGGCTTCCCATAGATATGTTACTTACTTTTTTTCCAACAACTTCCATTGAAATGTTAATTCCTCTGAGCAAGGCTTTCGTTTTAATCGGTATGTACTGGAATATTTGATTACCCGTTCGTGAACATTGTGCTTTTAGTGTCTGTGTAATACAATTAAAATCCTACGGTTAGTAACCCAAGTGGTAGTGATTCACCATTTTCAATTACTGGATGACATTTTGTTACAAACTGTAAGGTCAAGAAACATTAAGATGGAACGGCCCATTGAACATACTTTAAAGTAGTTATTTAAGATCATCATATATATACAACTCTTGCATATAACACGTGTAATAAGTCTGTAAACAAAAAGGTGTAATTAACTTTAAATTTATAGAATTTATAGAATTAAAAGAACAATTTACACACATATATATATATGGATCTTCCAAATGTTTCGGAAAAGACTAAAGAGCAACATTGTAATAAGGTGAAACCATATCAAGAATACATTCAGTTATTTAAGGAAACATTTAAAATGTGTATTAGACATGAGTGAAAACAGACAGGTGTTTCTTCAATACTTGCTGGATTCGTTTAGAACTTTCCACTCTTTATGCGTCGTTAACAGGCTAAAAAAAAAACCAGAAAACTAAGCAAATATACAATGATATATGTGTAGACTATAAATGTAATGGATGTAGAAGAATAAAAATACTTATAAAAGATTTTATTTTAGGAAGAAAAAAGTTCAGAAAAAACACGACCATTTTAGAAATTGATCTTTTTTTTTCTTTTTAAACGGCAGTATACAAAACATGCAAGTTGTTTCTTTTACTTTAGGCAGGTTCACCTAAAAGTTTCAAAATTTTTCACATACACGCACGTATGCCATTATCTGTAGGTTTAACAACAGAAATTGATTGTGGAATGCGTGTAACTTGTGATTGCCTTGGTTACTTATTTTTAATGATTGTTCCCCTTTGGTGTTACTCAAACCTTTCCAATTGGAATGTTATGTAGTTTCAGCAGAGGTTCGACCATATTAGTGAATTTGTGACACTAACGATACATTCGCCTCCCCTTGTTTGACAAAATAATCAATTACTTGAATAACAGATTCGCTTTGAGATTCACTTCGGATTTCGTCCAGAATTCCTTCTGGTGAAAGCTCACTCCATTTAGGTTCCTCGGAGGGTCGGCAGTAAGTTTATGGACTTGCAACTCTAACATCCAGGTTTCGGTTTCCTGCAGTGAACAGACACAGATAGCCCATTGTGTAGTTTCTGCGATAAAATAAACAAAATCTCTCCATTCAGAAACAGTGGTGTCTTGTACTCTCGTCACTTTGATCGTTTTTGTACTTATAAATACATATTCACTTTGTTTTACATCGTGTTTGGTATGTTTCTTCAAATCCAGTTAGAATAAAAAATTCAGATCTAATTCCGTAGAGCATTTTCTTCCTTTCCTCCTGCTCTGCGATTACTTTCCTTACTCACAGGACACTAAAATATCACAGAATAATTTTACTTCAGTTCATCCATCATTTGCATAAAAGACCATTATAAAACACGTGTCTGCAATTTATTTTAAAATAAAACAAAATATTTGGAAACATTCTCTTTCTCTCTTGTCTTTTTTTTTAATTTATAAAATTGCCAATTTTTTGTTGTGCTAAAAAATTTCCACTCTATAAAGTGCGAAGGTGTTTGTCATTTACTGAGTAATATCTTTAGAAAACTCCAGTTTTTCCCGTTTTCTAAAGATTCACCTAGGTGGAAAACAGTTTTTTTTAAAGAAATTAATAACTCCTTTTTGTATTTAACGTTAACAGGTGATTAAAACTTGTAAACTTCTTACCGGATAACACACTCCATCATAACACATCTTCTTTAATGACCAATGAGAATAAGAACTCCACCAGCCTGTACTGAATATCCGGTTATGAGGTGCTACTTGAAGCGAAAGAAGGCTCTCTCTAGGCTTTTCGTACATTGTCATCGTCGGAAGGATTGTTAAGTGTTTGCTAGTCACATGAAAGAAGAACAGAAAATCAACAGGACAATACTATTATAAGATTCTGTTCAGTTCCTTGGATTATAAATAACTCCAAATTTTCTTTAGTCAGATTTCTTTGATAATGTGCAATAAATCAGTATACACGACATATTTAAAATGACTATCAGCTTTAATAGAATTAACGTTGCGAAAAACTTGGAATCACGCAAGTTTTTCCGTGCACAGAATTTCAATATTCTGATGTACCTGTCACACGATTCTGAAATTATAGTTAACATCTAAGAAGTTAATTTTATTTTGAATTAGCGATGAGAAAACTAGTATTATGGTTCTTTCTTTTCACAACTTTTCCGTTTTACGTAATATTTAGTGATTCAGTGAGGGTTGTTTTGCATTTATTCTGTGGTTACCAGAAACTGTTATTTTATGCCTGAATAAAAATGGATAGGCTAAAAATAAAAGAAAGCCTAAATTACTTCTCCGTTCAAACTTCAAGTACACGATTGCTTACAAAAATTTTTAAAACGTGCATTTTTCCCTTTCTTTCATGACACCGTTAAAGTTATTCCCATTCAAATTCTACTTAAGAGAGAGTGGAGCAGAGGCTGATTAAAGTGTGGGAAAACCAATAGTGATGTAGTTGCAATGTTTAATCATATGAGATTTGAATCTAGTGCTTCTAATTTTATTTAATAAATCGTTACAGATAGGTGGTAAATGTTTTATTATATTATTATTAACGTGATTAGCACAAATGCAGCATTATTAACACGAACGTAAATATAGTAATATGTGTAATAAGATACAAGAAACGTTTTCTGTTATTATTTGATCTTGATGCAATAGTTGATCAGTTTCTTAAGCCATCTAAGCAGTGTGCTGTTGTTTGTGGTAGAGCAAATAGGTTTTTAGGTTGTACCTACAGAAATATTCAATATTAGTCTAAATAGGTTAAAATTTCTTTGTATAGGTCACTGGTTAAGCTGCATTTGGGGTATTGTGTTCAGTCTTGGGATCCTTACCTTAGGAAGGACAATGAATTTTTGGAAAGGGTTCAGAGGGATCTGATTGAGGTGTTTAAGATTGTAAAGGAAATTGATAGTGTTCATGCATCATATTTTTTACACACGTAACAGTGAGAATAGTAGGACTAGGGAACACAAATGTAAATTTTGGCAAGGTAGGAGTCATCATCAGCTAAGACAGTTTTATTTTTCTAACAGGGTGGTTGGTCTTTAGAATGGGTTGCCTTCGGATGTTGTGAAGGCAGTAAATTTAAATGAGTTTAAGTGAAACTTGATAAGTATATGAATGATAAGGGTTGGCTTTAAGATTTTTTTTTTATATAATTTATTTATTAATAGCTTTAGTTTAGCTTAGAGGATAGGACAGCCTAGATGAACCAATAGGTCTCATGTTGTCCCGAAACATTTTGTTATATTAAGTTTACATATACCGCTATGCCTACTTAGTGTGATCCTATACTTATACTCATTGAAGTGCATAATGTATAGGCAGCATGTCATGGAGTGTCAGAGTATTTGTGACAAGGCAATGTATGCATTTATCTACCATGAGATATGAAAAAAAAAGGAAAAAGGATTGTTTATAAAAGTTACTAATGGGACTTAATATTTTTGATGTACATAAACAGATAAAAAAGGTTTCCACAACCCTGTTTCGATCAAAGTTTCAAATCGTGTTATTAGAGATGTGTGACCATTAATGTTGTTAATCTGAAAAATCATTATATTTGCTTTTAATGTAATTTGGCATACAAAGTTACTAGAATTAACTTCAAACATTTATACTTACAGTACGGTAAATATTGATGGTGTGTAGTAGTTTATCCAGAACATATAAGCTGCTATATAAATGACGGTAAGTAGCATCAGTGCGAACAGAAAATGTTTGCAGTGTTCAGTTTTCATTGCACAGTTTTAAGTATTATCTGAAAAATAAATAAACGCTTCATGAGATGGTGTTTTATAATTTTAAAGAAAGTAGAATAAGAACTTTAAATGAATGAAAACATAGAAACTAGAATGTTCTGATAAGCAAGTAAAAATCTTCATTGAAGATTACTCGATTGATGAAGTTATAAAATTAAGTTGCTCATTTTTAGTTTAGTTTTATTAAAAACAAACGAAAAGTGAATCACCACCGACTGAAATTTAAGTTGATGCTGGTGTAACTGACGGGTAAGTATTAAGTACCAGGGTATGGGAGATTGGTAGGAAATGTTTATGGATTAAACAAACAAGCAATTATAATGGACAGTAAAGAAAAAACTCGATTACAAATGTAAAGCAACTAAAATCTAATTATCACAGAAATTCTCAGATTAATTTTTCCAAACGCTTAACCCATTGACTGCTAATTCACCGTATAAGGTACGGTTCGCCTCCGGCAGTTGAAGCTGAGTGTACTGTATACAGTGTACGGCTCGCAAAAATTCCGCGCGCGTTTTAAGCAGCCGCAGTCAAAGGGTTAATTTCGCAGAGTCATGTGGCTGTCTTCTTAGTTAAAGAAAAAGACTTCTGATTGCTGGAACAGAAATCTTTTTTTACCAAATGAAGAAATATAGGATTCATATCACAGTTTCAGAGTGTGGTATTCCAATATCCCAGATCACTCTATACAAATCTTGTATATCTCTTCACTTGGGTATGATTCACACCCCAGAGAATAAATGATAGATAACATAACATTTTGGGACAACACGAGACCTATTGGTCCACCTCGGCTGTTCCATCCTCTAAACTAAACTAAAGCTAATAATAAGTAAATTTCAAAAAAAATTCTTATAACCATTCCATATCATCCATATACTTATCAAGCTTTCTCTTAAACTCACTTAAATTTACTGCCTCCACAACATCCGAATGCAACCCATTCCAAAGATCAATCACCCTGTTAGAAAAATTGTCTTAGTTGAAGATGACTCCTACCCAGCCAAAATTTATCCTTGGGTCCCCTAGTCCTACTATTCTTACTGTTAAATATGAAAAAAGATGATGCATCAACACTATAAATTCCCTTTACGACCTTAAACACCTCAATCAGAACCCCCCTAACTTTTCATTTTTCAAGAGAAAATATTTTGAGAGATTTCAACCTCTCCTCGTATGACAACCCCTTCATCCCAAGCACCATTCTAGTAACCCTTCTCTAAACCCTTTTCAACAATTCAATGTCCTTCATAAGGTAAGGAGCCCGAGGCTGAACACAATACTCCAAATATGTCTAACCAGTAATCTATACAATGAAATTATAACCTCTTTAGACTTGTCTTCAATATTTCTGTACATACAACCTCAGTTCCCTTTACAATCTTAAACACCTCAATCAGAACCCCTAACTCTTCTTTTTTCAAGAGAAAACATTTTCTCTCAAATTCCTGCATTCTCATTCAAAGGCTCCCCTTGTATATGTTATTAGTGACTGATTCATTTTATGATGGATAACCCTCATGAATGATTTTGTGAAAGGTATCATATGTGTGTGTGTGTCACATAATTGTATATTTATTTCACATACACACAAGTTTCCAGCTTCCATAACTTGACACACACTAGTAGCTTTCGACAAATGGCCCAGGACCTGTGCACCAGTACCTCAGCAATTGACTTGGGCTACACTCGTAAACTACATGTTGGTTGTGTTATGGTTTAGTAGCAAGTGACTCACATATCCAATTCTTAACCACCCTCAAAACCCTTGGTTAAATATTATTTGATCGAAGAGCTTATCATTCTTTAAACTTCCAATTTTTTAATAACAAGCTTAGAATTAATGTGGTCATCTTGCTTAACTCTGTTTCCATTTAGCAACTGTTTAGTTTGAGAATTATTGTTTAAACCTCCATTAATAAAAACTAAAGAAAAGTAAAATTTGATTACCCAGCCATCCCATAATCATCAGATATTAGCCTTTCTGTATCATCCCACAAAGGCCCTACTCCCATCCTAACATTTTGTTTACCCTTAATGTATTTGACCAATACTCTTTATCTACTGTAACCCTTCAAATCTACCATACTTGTAGTCAATTAAATTTTCTTATATTATAATGCTTTTCTTTAATTGTATCCTTTAAACTCTTTGTGAGCCAACCTATTTTATTTTTAATTATAGCCACCCTTTTTTAAGGGGCATGCCTAAATTGAATATTTAATAATTGTTTTAGAATTTTCCCGCATTTGATCAGTATCTTCAATTAATTCAGTTTCCTAATTCATAACAAATAATTTTTATCTCATCCATTCAAAGTTGTTTCTAAAATTTAAAACCAAAATCTCATTATTCCTTACCTCCATATGCAACAAAACATCAAACATAACTGAAAAAAGATAATTTACACCCAAATGTTCACCTATCTCCGCCTTCTCAACTATTTATGTATTATAAGTTTACGATAAATCTGAAATATCTGTGTTCCCAATAGGTTCCCTAACCAATTTGTGAAGAAAAACTATCCTAAACAGTCTCTAAAAAACCGTCTCCCTCATGATTCGACTCTAACATTTTCCAATCTATATGCTTGAAGTTAAAATATCTTATAATTATAACCTCATTAACAGTCGAATTCTTTATCTCAGTGTAGTTTCTCATTAATTTTATCAGTTTCACCTAATGGTCTTTAATAAGTTTCAACTAAAAACACTAACAGAAACTCAAACATATTCAACCTCCTTGCTATTATCTTTGATATCCTCAACTTCAACAGGATGTAACTCACATTTTATATATATAAAGCCACTCCTACTCCTCCCCCCTCTATCCCTATTAAACAGCCTATAACCCTGTATTTAAAATAAGTTCCTATCAAAATTGTCTAAATTCAACCAGACTTCAGTTATTTTCATTACATCCAAGTCCTTTGTTCCGACCAGTGCTCTAAAGTAATCTATTATTTCTTATATTTCTAGCCTTACAATAATAAAAATTTAGCCTACCATTAAAAATACTTTTTGTACATTGTTTCTGCACTATACTTTTATTAACGTTTTATTTATTTTTCATTATTCTGGTCTCACTACTGTCTAGTCCTAGTTTAAAACTTCCCTTAAAGTTGAGTTAATAGCCGTTGCAAACAAGCCAGCCCTACACTATTCAAGTGTAAACTATCCATTCCAAAATGCTCCCCTTTCTCATTAAACTGATCCTACAAATCAAACCAGCCGACCAGTTCATTCGTACATATTAACCTGAGGCTAGTATTCAACCCTAGTGACCTACTTATAATCTCATCTCCACAATTACGTCTTAGCAGTATTCCTGACAAAATTAAATTATTATGTCCCTTTCTTTGAATGCCTTCATCAATTCCTTGTACTTAACAATTAGCTCCTCTGATCTACCCTTCCCTGCATCATTAGTAACTGTATGCACTAAAAAGACTGCATCATTAGCACCATTTGTTATACCACTTGCTCCGTCCGTTGTATCCTCCATCCCTGACCCTGAAAAGCATGATCTTACTCTTTTTTTTTCCCTATTTATTCTACAGATTATCCTATCTACGTGCTGTACTAAAAAATCACCTACAGTAATAACCTCCTTATGTTTTTCATTACCATCCCTATCCGTCCCTTTTGTTATCATTCCTTCCCATAGGTCCTCATCTGCACAAGCTAACGACTGAAGTATTTAAACAATTATTGGGATACTTCGTTAGGGCGTTTCTTCCGTCAAATGCCAGTGAAGACGACTTTGAAAAATATTTATTAAGAATGCACCATCTGTTGGTACATACTGATTTTATTACTTTAGTAATCTGGCAATTTTCGATATTCCGTGGCATATTTTTTACCGAAATTGGCCCATGGGTTTTGCAAAAGTGTTTGAGTTGGAATTGTTTTGATCGTCTGTTATTCCTCTTTGAAAGTAATGCACTTGCGGTTGCGCATACTTAAGAATATTGCTTAAATCCGCAGGAAAAAGGTATGGAACATGTATGTGTACATTGAATCTAGTAAAACGAATTAACTTTATAATAAAAAATTCGCAAGATAATTCACAATTTCGATGCCTGTGGTAGGCACAGAATAGATAGCCCATTGTTTAGCTATGTGCATAACAATAAAAAACAAACAAAAATGCTTGAAAAATAAAGCGAAAAATAAAACATTTTATAAGCACGTTTATATAAAAGCATCAAGACGCTGCTTGTGAATACTTTCCATATTAACAACGTTATTGGCTGTTTTTATTTATTTGCTTATTTAATTCATGGTTAATGAAAGGTTATTTTAGGACATGAAAAGTTGATTCCTATATATGTAATTGTAAAAAAAAGAAAAAAAAACACGCAAAAATGCCCATAAAAACTGCAAAACATAAAATGTGAAACAGAAAATTTTCATGTATCTCCGCATTAACCCAACAAACCTTCATGTCAAATTTAGTAAAGGTCCATCAACAGGGGGCGAAGTAATGGTGAGAAAACGTCCATAAAAACTGCAAAACGCAAAATTGAAAATTTGCATGTACCTCCCCATGGACCCAATAAACCTCCATACCAATTTTGGTATAGATCCATCCACACCCTTCGAAGTAGTTACATGGACATACAACAGACTTTACTGTTATATTTATATAGATTATTTTTTGTATTTACTTATTAATTGCATGCAGAGACAACGCTATTAACACATTTTCCCGTAATGATTTTATATTCATCTACAATAACCAAAACCTGTAAAAAGAAACGAAAATATTTTGGCCTTAAAGAAATATATTTTATAGATTTAGTCTTTTAGAGCTTGTTTCTTTCTGGATTAATATATTTTCTTTTCCTGTGTTAGATAGGCCCGCACCAATTGTAACTGAAATGTATTAAGTACCGACTCTTTACGTAATATAGTAACATCAGGAAAAAAATAAAATATAGCGAAGGTACTTGGTTAGTGTTCACCTATATATATTAATGTTTTTTGACATATTTCAA